ATGTATGTATATATATATGCATGTGCGTGTCTGTGAAGTGTGACCAAAGTGTAAGTAGGAGTAGCAAGATATCCCTGTTATCTAGCGTGTTTATGAGACAGAAAAAGAAACCAGCAATCCTACCATCATGCAAAACAGTTACAGGTTTCTGTTTCACAGTCATCTGGCAGGACGGTAGTACTTCCCTGGGTGGTTGCTGTCAACCAACCTACTACCCTGTAGTCTTAATGTAGGGCAAAAGGTGAGTAGTATTTACTCTAAGAAGTCAGGTGTGGTAGCCCTCCTGACCACCCCACCCACACATACTATACTATGATGCTTAAAGCTCCCTAGAGCAATAAAATGCTTATACAGCGGAACCTTGAAATCGAACGTCCCCAAATATCGAATTTTCAAAAATAACCATTTTTTCGGGCAAACTGGACCAAAATGAACGCGTTTCAAAACTTCCCCCGGGAGGGCCTGCCCTCCCCTTTTCCAGTCCCCGCGCCCCTACATTCTTGTTTTATCCCCGAGTGAAAAACCTGCGCTCTCATTTAACATTTTAGAATTTAATTGTGTTTGGTTGTGGGACTTAAAATAAGTGCCAGGGAAAAAAACTTGTGCGGTATTTGTGGCAAAAAGGGAGAAAAAGATGTAAAGAAGAAAAAATACGAAGTATGAGAGGTGTGGATTTTTTGAGTTGCCGAAAGGGGGCTGTGGCGTTATTTTGTGAGACAGAAAAGACGACGTGGATTATTTTGTGAGACGAAACAGATGACTGTGGAATTTTTTTTTTTGTGAGACAAAACAGTACTGTGGAGTTATTTTGTGGGGACTGAAAAAAAGACGACTGGGGCAATTTTGGAGACAAAACAGATGACTGTGAGTTATTTTGTGAACAGAAACAAAAACTGTAACAGTTATTTTGGAGACTGGGGTCCAATGACTCTAAAACTGGTCCTAGTGGCATTTAAAAATACAAGAAAGGGAAAAACCCCCAAGAGGCTTTGATACAAAGCCCTCATGGAACGGGATTACCCCCCAAACACAAACCCCAACTCCCTCTCCCTCCCCCCTATCTTCCAATGCCACACAATTTTTAAATAAAGGTAAGAAAAAATTTTATTTTAATTTTATATATGTATGTATTATTTTATTAGTTATTTTTATGTAAAACGTAAAAATCCTATAAAAATTTTTTGTGTGAATATTTTTGGATTCGGGAACGGATTAATTGTTTTTCCCTTTATTTCTTAGGGGAAATATTGATACGAATTTCAGACTTTTGGAAATTAAAACAGCTCCGGAACGGGTTAATTCGATTTTTGGGTTCCACTGTACATACACGCATTACTTACTTAAAATATTTGTGTCTTAATGGTCTTAATGTAGGGTGAGAGGGGAAAAGTATTTATTTTAGAAAGTCGTGGGGAGGTATGGGATCCTCCCGGCCACTTAACCCACTAGCATTAAGCTCCCCTTTAGCGACAAAATGCATATATAGTACACTCATATTTTTCCTTAAAATATTTTAGTCTTTTAAAGTAGGGGAAAGGCAAACAAACCGAAAAGATCTGGTTTTCGTCCAATCCCACAAGTTGCCCGGCACCACAAGCCTATAAATTTCCTGGCTACCACAATCCCATAAGTTGCATGGGTACCCAATCCCACAAGTCACCTGGGTACCACATCTCAAATTTTTTGTTAATTTATCCCCACTGTGGGGTTATTAAGATGGATTAACAAAATGTTTATTTTTTTTTTTTTTACAAGTCGGGCCCTCCCCCCCGAGGCAGGGTGACCCCCAAAAAAAAAAGAAAATCCCCAAAAAAAAATACTTTCATCATCATTCAACACTTTCACCTCACACAATCACTGTTTTTTGCAGAGTGCCAGAACACAACAGTTTAAAAGCATATATGTATAAAGATACCACAACATATCCCTCCAAACTGTTAATATCCCAAACCCTCCTTTAGAGTGCAGGCATTGTACTTCCCATTTCCAGGACTCAAGTCCGGATAATAAAAAATAACCGGTTTCCCGAATCCCTTTACTAAATATTACCCTGCTCACATTCCAACAGATCGTCAGTCCCAAATACCATTCGTCTCCATTTCCCTCCAATCGAACACGCTCATGCACCCTGCTGGAAGTCCAAGCCCCTCACCCATAAAACCCCCCTTTCCCCCTTTCCCTTTCCCAACCTTTTCGAGGACGACCCCTACCCTGTCTTCCTTCTCCTACCGATTTAATATGCTCCCATGTCATTCTACTTTGATCCATTCTCTCTAAATGATCAACCCATCTCAACAACCCCTTTCACCCCTCTGCCCAATACCTTTTATTAACTCCACACCTCCTAATTTCCACACTCCAAATTTTCTGCATAATATTTACACCACACATTGCCCTTAGACAGGACATCTCCACTGCCTCCAACCGTCTCCTTGCTGCTGCATTCACAACCCAAGCTTCACACCCATATAAGAGTGTTGGTACTACTATACTTTCATACATTCCCTTCTTTGCCTCCACAGATAACGTTTTTTGACTCCACATATACCTCAACGCACCACTCACCTTTTTTCCCCTCATCAATTAATTCTATGATTAACCTCATCCTTCATAAATCCACCCGCCGACACGTCAACTCCCAAGTATCTGAAAACATTCACTTCTTCCATACTCCTCCGTCCCAATTTGATATCCAATTTTTCTTTATCTAAATCATTTGATACCCTCATCACCTTACTCTTCTCCATGTTCACTTTCAACTTTCTACCTTTACACACACTCCCAAACTCATCTACTAACCTTTGCAATTTTTCTTTAGAATCTCCCATAAGCACAGTATCATCAGCAGAAAGTAACTGTGTCAATTCCCATTTTGTATTTAATTCCCCATAATTTAATCCCACCCCTCTCCCCAACACCCTAGCATTTACTTCTTTTACAACCCCATCTATAAATATATTAAACAACCATGGTGACATTACACTTCCCTGTCTAAGACCTACTTTTACTGGGAAGTATTCTCCCTCTCTTATACACACCCTAACCTGAGCCTCACTATCCTCATAAAAACTCTTTACAGTATTTAATAACTTAACGTTTTATATATTTAATGCTCCGTAGAGTGATTATTGTGTTGTTATTATTGTCATTATTAATATGGCGTCTTCAAGACTAAAAAGACACTCTTAGTGATTTTAATGTGTACCTGCATGCCAGCACAGTATGTAAGTTTACTTAGGTACAGGTACACATAAGTATAATTATCAGTTATAATAATAATGTAGGTATGTAGTCTGCCTGGGCTACATAGCCACACAATATTTAATGTGGCCCAGAGCCATATTACCATCGACATACTATGTTCACTGACTTTAATCATTTCTAACAAAGGGAGAAGTAGTGAATAATTCATGCCAAGAATTGTAAACAAAATAAGTCACTCTGTCAGACTTTTTGGGTTATCCTAGGTTCTCTACACATAAGCTGCTATGTATGATAATCTAGGTAAATGTATTTGTGTATACCTGAATAAACTTACTTACATTGTATTAAGGGGAGTGACGTAATGTTTTCCCTCCGCCCGGCTACCACACCTCCATAGCATATAAACAAAATGTTTATATGTTATGTAATGTGTTTCTTATATAATTTTGAAGAAAATATAATAGATAGATTAATGAAAATGTCTATATTAACTCTTTCAGGGTCGACAGGCCCTCTCAGGAACTTGTTCTCAGGGTCGCCAAAATTTCAAAAAAAATAAAAAATTATTTTTCTTATGAAAACATGAGAATCTTTTCCCGATCATAATGACACCAAAAGTATGAAATTTGATGGAAAACTTATGCAATTATGCTCTCGCGAAGTTAGCGGTCTCAACGATGTTTACGCATCGGCGATTTTGCCCACTTTGAGCCCTATTTTCGGCCAATTCCAGTGTACTTGTCGACAAAAATCATAACTATTTCGCTAGAACTAAATTTTTTCTATCGAATGAGTACAAGAAACTACCCATTTACTTATTTCAACTATCCAATACAGTGGTCAGAATTTAGCAATTTTGCCAATTTCACACAAATTTCAAAAGATGCCAATTTCCAAATAGGGTCCAGAATAAACAAGAAAGACATTCCTGGCACTAAAATAACATTTCAACTGTTCATTAGTCATGTCCCGATGCCTCTCTTACATTCTTTTGCTTTCCACTTTGAATTTTTATTCTCACAAAAAAATGAAGATTTACTGTTATGCAGACTACTGCATAGGTGTAGAAATGATATAAATATTATCAGCACACTTGTGAAAGAATATCAGACTCGCCAGTTGACGTGTATTGGATGCATAGCATAATTTGTTTACTTTTGAACTTAGGTAAAAATCTAACATTTCTGCTATTTTGAGCGCAATTTCAAGGTAGTTTTCTTTGTAAAACCAGTCAAAATCATCGCAATTTCTGTAATGTCTTCCATTCTATAAAATGAGACCAGGAAAACTAAATACAACAATAAATACCATACAAAAATACAGTGCAAAGTTGCTGTTTTAATCCAAAAACACGGTCAAAATTTTTTTTTTCTCATTACGCACTGTGTGCTGCAGGATTTTTTTTATATTGCGCACACTGACCACATAGACCCATTCTTTCATACATAGGCCTACCAGCTTTCTCTCACTAGATTTGAGGGTGCTAGAATTTAGGCATACTAGTATGTCAAAAACCATGGTGCGTAAGCCGTACTAGTATGGCCAAAACCCTGAAAGGGGTTAACGTAAAATAATACATTTAATGTGCCCAAGAGTGATTGTTATTACATAATAGAGAGATGTGCATATGAAGAATGTAAACAAACCAGATGGCCCACTTGCCGTATAGGAAGTTTTGGTCATAATTTGAGATCGCCGTATTAACGGAACACCGTAAGGCAAAATGCCGAAAAGCGGGGCCCTACTGTATATAAATACAAGGATTATGTGAAGTAAAGTAAGGGTTGAATGCAAAAAGTGGGTTATACTGTTTATGCACTTAGAGAAGAGAGGAGTGTAGAGGAGAGAGAGAAAGAGATTTTGAGAGATGTTAAGTGAGTGTTTAGGGAGTTTATAACCAAGTGAGAGTAATTGCAGTAGAAGCTTACCTGAGGTATGGCAGATGCACACTGGATTGTCAGCTCTGCATTAAGCTTAGTGTCCTTTGCTTCAGCTTCTGTGTAATTACTCACTGCATGCTTACACTCTTTACTTAACCTGAAAAAAAAAAGGAAAAAAATGACCACATAATTAGTCTCCTCCAATCCAATGAAAGAGGAAATGTTTTAATACTTGGAATGTCTACAATGTTTATTTTGGACTATTTTTAAATCAAAATTTTTTAATTTTGTGCAATCTGGCCAAATTACTGACTTCTGTGCATGTTATAGGGTAACTGTAATAACTGAATGGGCAGTTCCTTGTGCTTAATCAACAGAACAGAAGACATACTAGTGAAATCAATTTGGTTGAATGGAGCAATGGAATTGGCTTAAAATAGGACAAAGTCAACAAAATCACCAATGCATAAATTGTGCACAGACCACTAGCTTTGTGCCTGCGTAATTCCATAATTTTTCCATCGAATTTCGTAGTTTTGGCGTCATTACCTTCAGAAAAAGATTCTCTTCTACTTCAGAAGAATTTTTTTTTTTAAACAGGGAAATAGCTTGAAATATAGTAGAAATATTAAATTTTTGTTGATATTCAGGAGGATGGGAAAGGCCCCCTACAACCCCAAGCTTGTTTTATGTTTTTTTTAATAGGTCTAATTCAATTATTGGGATCCTGTAAACCATGAACAATCTTTCCTGGTTATATATTATTATCCCAGAAATAGAGTAAGTCTTGGATTTTTTTTTTTTTTGTGAATAAGAATTCAAAATGGAAAGCAAGTGTTTTTATTAAAAAAGCCTGGGACATGACTAATGAACAGAGGAAGTGTTCTTACTTCCAGGAACGTATACATTGTTTATCACAGACTATTTTTAAATTGGCATTTTTTAAATTTTGTATGAAATTGGCCAAATTACTCAATTCTGATCACTTTATTGGGTAGTTAAATAACTGAATAGGTGTTTCTTCCATCAATAGACTGGAAGGCATACTAGTGAAATAGCTAAGAATTTGGCCTACTAGAAAAGTGGAATTGGCTCCAACTAAAATAGGACTCAAAGTGGGTGAAATCATTGGTGCGTAAATTGCGCCGAGACTGCTTTGTACCAGCGTAATTTCGCAAGTTTTCCATCAAATTTTGTACTTCAAAAGAATTTTTTTAATAATTATTGTTACTTGTTGACAGAAATGTGGGGGGAGGGTTGATGTCACCCTGTACAATTAATGTACAACATATGACAAGCAGCTCTACAACTATCATCTGCCTCCACCACAACAACCTGTAAACATCAATAAAAATACCATATATTACTAGCCACAAGAAGATTTTTTAATAAATGAATGTGCCTAGAGTAAAACTCATCATAATATGAGTGAAAGTTATCCAAAAATATCATTGTCTTGTTATTGTTGGGTTTAACCCTTTGACTGTTTCAGGCCCCTCTCAGAAACTGTCATTCTATGTCGCTCAATTTTAAAAAAAAAAAAAAAAAAAAAAAAAAAAAAAAAAAAAAAAAAAAAAAAAAAAATTCTTATGAAATGATAGAGAATCTTTTCCCGATGGTAATGACACCAAAAGTTCGAAATTTGGTCGAAAACTCATGGAATTATGCTCCAGCAAAGTTAGCGGTCTCGGCGACATATGTGTATCGGTGATTTCGCCGACTTGGGGCCATATTTTCAGCCAATTCCATTGTTCCACTTGACCAAACTCATAGCTATTTCTTTAGAACTCCATTTTATCTATCAGCTGAGTACAAGAAACCTCCCATTTACTAATTTGGACTACCCAATATGGTGGTCAGAAATTGGCAATTTGGCCAATTTCACACAAACTAAAAAAGATGCCAATTTCAAAATAGGGTCCAGAATAAACAAGGTAGACATTCGTGACACTAAAATAACATATGCTCTGTTCATTAGTCACATCTCTAGGCCCCTCTTATATTATTATTGCTTTCTATTTTGATTTTTTATTCATACAAAAAAATACAAAATTTACTGTTATGCACACTACTGCATTATTGTAAAAATGGTATAAATAATATCAGTGCACTAGTGAAAGAATATTAGACTCCCCAGTTGACGTGTATTGGACATGTGGTGTGATTTATTTACTCCTGAACATTGGTAAAAATCGAACATTTCCGCTACTTTGAGCTCAGTTTCAAGGTAGTTTTCATCGTCAAAATAATGAAAATCATCTCTATTTCTGTAATATGTTTTCCATTTTATCACCTAAGACCATGAAAACGCGAATACAACGATAAATACTATACGAAAATACACCTCAAAGTCGGCGTTTTATTCCCAAAAAACGATCAGTTTTTTTTTTCTCATTACGCAATGTGTGCTGCAGGATTTTTTTTATGTGGTGCACACTGACCACACAGACCCATTCTCTCACATGTGGGCCTACCAGCTTTCTCCCACTTGATTTGAAGCCGCTAGAATTATTGAGTATATATACGTCAGAAACATTGGCTCGTAAGACGTACGTATTTATACGTCGAAAACAGTCAAAAGGGTTAAGGACTGTGATCATCCAAGGGGCTGTTTATGTGAAGCTGACTACCAGAATGCTTTTACAAGTAGAAACCAATATAATAATTTTTTTTTTTAACAAGTCGGCCGTCTCCCACTAAGGCAAGGTGACCCAAAAAGAAATTACTTTCATCATCATTCAACACTTTCACCTCACTCATACATAATCATTGTCTTTGCAGAGGTGCCCAGATACAACAGCTTAGAAGCATATACGTATAAAGATATATAACATATCCCTCCAAACTGCCAATATCCCAAACCCCTCCTTCGAAGTGCAGGCATTGTACTTCCCATTTCCTGGACTCAAGTCCAGCTATATATTAAAATCATCGGTTTCACTGAATCCCTTCACTAAATATTACCATGCTCACACTCCAACAGCTCATCAGGTCCCAAAAACCATGCATCTCCATTCACACCTATCTAACATGCTCATGCACGATTGCTGGAAGTCCTAGCCCCTCACCCACAAAATCTCAATTACCCCCTCCCTCCAACCTTTTCGAGGACGAACCCTACCCCGCCTTCCTTACTCTACAGAGTCATACGCTCTCCAAGTCATTCTACTGTGATCCATTCTCTCTAGATGACCAAACCACCTCAACAACCCCTCTTCAGCACTCTAATACTTTTATTAATTCCACACCTTCTCCTAATTTCCACACTCCGAATTCTCTGCATAATATTTACACCACACATTGCCCTTAGACAGGACATCTCCACTGCCTCCAGCTGCCTCCTTGTTGCAGCATTTACAGCCCAAGCTTCACACCCATGTAAGTGTTGGTACAGTGGTCCCTCGTTTTTTGTAATTAATCCGTTCCTGGAGGAGCTACTATAAACGAAATTTACGATTTGCGAATCAATTTTCCCCATAAGAAATAATGTAAATACAATTAATCCGTTCCTGACACTCAGAAGTATTAAAACAAAAAAATTTTTTACATGAAATATGCATGTAGTACATAAACAATACAATGGGAAATGATGAATGAAACATTAACAGCATAACACTTACCTTTATTGGAGATTCTTCTTAGTGTATGGGAGACTGGAGGAGAGAGATTGGATTGTTTACAGTTTGGAAGGGGAATCCCCTTCCAGCAACACCTCAGGTACCAATTGCTTCTCAGGGGTTGGTTCTCTTCTCTGTTTCTTATTGCCACTAGGACCACCTTGAGAGTCACTCTAGTCCTGTCTCGCAAAGTAACTGTGGAGAGAGCTCTGTTTCTGGCGTCTCTTTAACACTTCCCTAAAATGGCCCAAGACTTTGTCACTGTACATATTTCTCACCTTTTTACCACAGGCTTGGCACTAGGAGCTTTCTTTGGAGCCATGGTAGCTTATTTAGTACTTGTAAGCACTAAAATGAGTGGAATATTATGAAATATTTCGTAGGAGCACTTGAGGGGACCTTCACTCACTGGCAAACAATGCCAGACTGGCTGGGTACAGAGGCCTCCCCGGCTCACACCGTGCTTACGTGTCCCGGACGAACTACTATTCGCAAGTCAACCTATGAAAAGCGAGTCCATGTTTATACGAAAATACCCATGATTGGCGAAATTTACGATTGCCGAGAACTACGAAAAGCGAGGGACCACTGTACCACTATACTTTCATACATTCCCTTCTTTGCCTCCATGGATGAAGTTTTTTGTCTCCACAGATACCTCAACACACCACTCACCTTTTCTCCTTCATCAATTCTATGGTTAACCTCATCTTTCATAAACCCATCTGATGACAAGTCAACTCCCAAATACTGCATCTGAAAATATTCACTTCTTCCATACCCCCTCTCTCCAATGAGATATCCAATTTTTCTTTATCTAAATCATTTGATACCCTCATCACCTTACTCTTATCTATGTTCACTTTCAACTTTCTACCTTTACACACCCTCTGAAACTCACCCGCTAACCTTTGCAACTTTTCTTTAGAATCTTCCAAAAGCACAGTATCATCAGCAAAAAGTAACTGTGTCAACTCCTATCTTGTATTTGATTCCCCATCTATAAATCCAGTGGACCCCCGCCTTACGAACACATCGCATTATGTTAAATCCGCAATACGAAGCACATGAATGCAAAAATTTTGCCTTGACTCACGATAAAAAACTCGCCTTACATGATTCGTCTGGGACGCGTCCCACATGTGGCCTCAGCGCCAGTGTTTACAAGCCAGCCAGTGCGGTCACATCTATGCATACATTTCGTACATTTCACATTATCCCAGTGTTTTTAGTGCTTGTAACTGCAAAATAAGTCACCATGGACCCCAAGAAAGCTTCTAGTGCCATCCCTGTGGTAAAAAGGGCGAGAATTAGTATGGAATTGAAAAAAAGAGATTAAGGAAATGTGTGCCAAGTGGGTTGAAATGCAAACCTTTATGGATGAAAATCACCCTGACACAGCTACTGCAAGCCATGTTGGCAACCTGTACAATGACAATGTTATGGCCCATTTTAGGAAAGTCTTAAAGGAACGGGAGGTACAGAGCTCTATGGACAGATTTGTTGTGCGACAGAGGTCCAGTGACTCTCAAGCTGGTCC